TTCACGTCACTGTCTTCACGTCGTCACTGTCTTCACGTCGTCACCATCTTCACGTCACTGTCTTCACGTCGTCACTGTCTTCACGTCACTGTCTTCACGTCGTCACCGTCTTCACGTCACTGTCTTCACGTCGTCACTGTCTTCACGTCGTCACTGTCTTCACGTCACTGTCTTCACGTCACTGTCTTCACGTCACTGTCTTCACGTCACTGTCTTCACGTCGTCACTGTCTTCACTTCACTGTCTTCACGTCACTGTATTCACGTCACTGTCTTCACATCGTCACTGTCTTCACGTCATCACTGTCTTCACGTCACTGTCTTCACGTCGTCACTGTCTTCACGTCACTGTCTTCAAGTCACTGTCTTCACGTCGTCACTGTCTTCACGTCACTGTCTTCACGTCACTGTCTTCACGTCGTCACCGTCTTCACGTCGTCACCGTCTTCACGTCGTCACCGTCTTCACGTCACTGTCTTCACGTCACTGTCTTCACGTCACCGTCTTCACATCGCTGTCGTCACGTCGTCACTGTCTTCACGTCACTGTCTTCACGTCGTCACCGTCTTCACGTCGTCACCGTATTCACGTCGTCACCGTCTTCACGTCACTGTCTTCACGTCACTGTCTTCACGTCACCGTCTTCACATCGCTGTCTTCACGTCGTCACTGTCTTCACGTCGTCACTGTCTTCACGTCACTGTCTTCATGTCGTCACTGTCTTCACGTCACTGTCTTCACGTCACTGTCTTCACGTCACTGTCTTCACGTCGTCACTGTCTTCACGTCGTCACTGTCTTCACGTCGTCACTGTCTTCACGTCGTCACTGTCTTCACGTCACTGTCTTCACGTCGTCACTGTCTTCACGTCGTCACTGTCTTCATGTCGTCACTGTCTTCATGTCGTCACTGTCTTCATGTCGTCACTGTCTTCATGTCGTCACTGTCTTCACGTCACTGTCTTCACGTCACTGTCTTCACGTCGTCACTGTCTTCACGTCACTGTCTTCACGTCACTGTCTTCACGTCACTGTCTTCACGTCGTCACTATCTTCACGTCGTCACTGTCGTCACGTCACCGTCTTCACGTCACTGTCTTCACGTCGTCACTGTCTTCACGTCACTGTCTTCACGTCGTCACTGTCTTCACGTCTTCACTGTCTTCACGTCATCACCGTCTTCACGTCAATGTCTTCACGTCGTCACTGTCTTCACGTCGTCACCGTCTTCACGTCGTCACTGTCTTAACATCGTCGCTGTGTTCAAGTCATCGCTGTGAAGCGACCGACCAAAATAAAGAAACCCTCTACAATCCATGTGTCCGAGAGCCGTTACACATACACACTAATAATGTAATACCAACAACCAACAACAACAACCGCCATTCGCCACTAAGTGGCAGTGACGTCACCGCGACGCTTGTGCCAGGCCATGTGCACCTTGAGGCCACGTGAAGTGTCGAACGCCCGCGGGCAGGAGGTCACGGGGCAGACCCAGGTGCCACGGGTCGACTGACTAAGATGACTGAGATGACTGGCTGATGCACCACCTGTGCCCCCTACTGTGCCAACCTGCTGTGCTTTAGCCACCCGGCGCTCCGCTCATTGTTGTGAACGTTGTTCCTCCGCCCTCCGTTGTTGTTGGAGGGCGACTACCTCCAACTGCCCAGTAGCGTCCTTCATGAGCCTCCTCCACAGAGGCCGATCTTGACACCGCTGGTACCAGTCATCGGCAAGTCCACTCAGCTCCACGTCCTCCTGTACCACATCACTCCATCTATTCTCTAGCCCGTGCCGCGCCCGTTTAGCTGATTCGGCATGCGGTGGCTGGACATGCGGGCTACATGACCCAGCCAACACAGCCTTGCCTGCCGGAGGAGCTCACCGATGGGACCTTGCCCAGATCTTTCAAAGATTTGTGAGCTCCTCACACAATCCAGCCTGGTTAAACCCAGGATGGATCGTAGGCAGGCTCGCCTAAATGTTTCTAACCGGCAAAGATGTTCCATTAGGGGGGTCCACGTTTCGCAAGCGTAGAGAAGGGAGAGAATGACCGTGGCTGAGAAGACCTGAAGCTTAGTGCGGAGCGACAGTCCAGGTAGCTTGCACACAGCGTTACACAACCGATGAAAAGATATTGCCACTCGACTGATTCGGAGTGAGACCTCTGCTGTTAAACTGGAGCCGGTCATAAGCACACTACCCAGGTATGGGAAACTCTCCACTCGCTCCACAACTGCCCCATCACCGATTGGGAGTTGTGGGGGTGGAGTGTCCGATGGTACAAAATACCCAGGCACGTGCTTAGTTTTGGTGGGGATGATGGGAAGGCCCCATCTCTTAGTGGCACGCTCTAGTCTCATCAGCAGCGTCTCCAAATCCTCCTCTGAATGAGCAGCTATTACCAAATCATCGGCATACATAACGTGGTTGAGCAATAGGGAGCCATCCCTTGACCTCACCTGGGCATCGATCAGCCTCCCATTATATCTGTACCATATGGAGATTCCCCCGGGACAGCAATTGAAGGCTTCACGAACTACGCGGTCAAATAGATGTTAAATAATGTGGGAGCCAGAGGACATCCCTGTTGCACCCCAAGTCTGCTGCCCCGAGTAGAGGACTGTCCACCCCTCATGGTGGCAGGAGCCAGAACCGGTCCACCGGACCTCCTGAATGCCACAGAGATCCAGGCGGTACCGGTCCAGCTCCCGACAGAGCAGTGGCAGCCTGTCCTCCGCAGTGAGCGTTCGAACAGTCCACGTGGCCATCCATAGTGACTTTTCATTGTTTCTGGAGGAGCCCCGAGGGTAGAGATTCAATCTCCTGGCTCCGCCAAATGGGGTTTGGCCAGGAGACGTCATAGACGCCTATCCCCTTCGGGGCCTCCGGCACAAGCTTATTAGTTACATATTTAATTCGTGGTTTAGTGGTAATTTATTGAAGGTGGAGGGGTTACCAGCCCTTCGCACCCGTCCAGAGCCCCCGTTTAGCCACTGTGGTGGTTACAGACACGGCAGAGTAGCTCGTCCGGCACCGCGAGGAGGTATTGGGTTGTTTTGCCAGACAATGTAATACATACCCACGCACACATACATAAACACACTGGCAATGCAATACATACCCACGCACACGTACATAAACACACTAACAATGCAATACATACCCATGCACACATACATAGACACACTGGCAATGCAATACATACCCATGCACACATACATAAACACACTGGTAATGCAATACATACCCATGCACACATACATAAACACACTAACAATGCAATACATACCCACGCACACATACATAAACACACTAACAATGCAATACATACCCACTCACACATACATACACACACTAACAACGTAATACATACCCACGCACACATACATAAACACACTAACAATGCAATACATACCCACTCACACATACATAAACACACTAACAATGTAACACATACCCACGCACACATACATAAACACACCGGCAATGCAATACATACCCATGCACACGTACATAAACACACTAACAATGCAATACATACCCACTCACACATACATAAACACACTAACAATGTAATACAAACCCACGCACACATGCATAAACACACTGGCAATGCAATACATACCCATGCACACATACATAAACACACTGGCAATGCAATACATACCCATGCACACATACATAAACACACTAACAATGTAATACATACCCACTCACACATACATACACACACTAACAATGTAATACATACCCACTCACACATGCATAAACACACTGGCAATGTAATGCATACCCACGCACACACAAACGGACAGACTGTACACTTGTTTTATGCATTGAAATCGAGTTTTATGCATTGAAATGCAAACTGCATACGTGTGTATAAACACACATAATAAACAGCCCACCCTCACTGGTAATGTATTTATAAACACATTAAAATAAACACACCAGCGAATTACACTGCCGTATGTAAAAAAAAATGAAGATTCCCGGGATAGCTTTTGAGCAGACTGTTGGGGCAAGTGCTGTTACCGAGCACCTATGAGCGAGCGGGGTGCCGACACCACACCCGACCGCCTTTGTCTCCCTAAGTGGTGATGTTTTTTTTTATATATATACACTGCATCAGCCATGCATTTGTATTTTTGTTCAGGTTGAGTCAACCTAGGGGGTGATGGCAGCACCGCTTGGGCCTCCACCGTCGTTTCGAAATTCCCCACCGACGTCGACACCATGACTTGAGATCGGCTCGCCACGCGCTAACCACTGAGCCCACCGCTCACATTCTCGTTCGACTCAGCCCATCAGCCCTCCCTCCCTCGGGGGGGGGGGGGGGGGGTGGGGAGTCAACAGTCCTGTAGAAATACTTGCCCCCTGCCATAGTAATGTGTAATTTCCACAACCAGCTACGGAGATGGTGGGATTGTGAACCCAATCCGTGCGGATATTTGAGCGTTCAATGGTGAATAAAGGGCCTCCCCACGCCATGTTCATCGTAAGGGGGGGGGGGGGGGGTTGACCATACTTCACCACGCTGGTTATCGTGTTTTTTTTTGTAATCGGACCAGTCCAGATATCACTCACGGCAAACTGATGTTATAGCCGTGTCCAGGTATCGACCTCGGGTTGCCATGGGTTCAGAGTGCAGTGTGCTAACCACTGTGCCACCACTCTCGCGAAGTGATGTTAGCCGTGTCCAGGAATCAAACGAATTGTCACGTTTTGTTTACGTGACAAACCTTACTGATTGGCCATGTGGGGTGGTGGCGGGTTTAACAACACCTTTAAAAATCTCTCCAAGAAAAACCTCATGGATAACATTGGTCTAGAAAACCCTCTGACTACTTCTGCTGCTGCATGCCTTTCAACAGCGAATCCCAACCAATTCTGACCGAATGCTTAAGACGCGACCATTACGAGCCACTCAGGCCATCGTCCTGAGTGACCTTTACACAGACATGCCATCCCCCATGACCTATTATCCATCTGACCCCAGGCTGGCAGACGTGAAGCTGCGAGACCACGGGCCCTACCAGTGCCACGTGAGCGTCTACGACAGGAGCCGCATGCTGGAAGCCACGGGGCATGTGTTCCTCAACGTCATGGGTAACAGAGACACTCAGCCACCCCCTCAGTCACCCATCCACTCACCCACCCCGTGGCCCACCCATTTCCTTATCCATCCATTCACCCACCACTCACCCACCCGCTCACCCCCCCCCACTCACCCGCCTGCTCACCCGCCCGCTCACCCACCCGCTCACCCACCTGCTCACCCACCGGCTCACCAACCCGCCAACCCACTCGCCCACCTACCTACTCACCCATCCTCCCACCCACTCACCCATCCTCCCATCCACTCATCCACCCAATCACCTACCCACTCACCAATTCACCGACTCACTCACCTGCCCACCCACGCACCACACTGCAGGCCACTACACTTCTCTCTGCTTCTTCCCTCGCACTGCTCCACTGTGGAGTTTCCTCCTACTATCATCATCATCATCGGTGTCGTCTTATCTTTTGCCCCCCAAGCGCTCGTAACAACAACAATAACAGCAATAACACCAACAAAATTAAGAACAATAACAGCAACAACAATAATCGCAACCACCTCGCTGCGTTCAAGAAACGCGTTCATGCACTCTTTGTCAATTACACATTTGACGGCGGTGCTGTTTGTTGCTATCTGTGATGGCAGCTTAAGGTTTTGGGCCTGTCTGGGCCTTTGCTCAGCAGCTGATTCATAGAGTCGCGCAGACTCATAGAGTTACATAGAGATCCATATAGTTTCATAGAGTTACATAGAGACTCAATAGAGTTACGTAGAGATCCATATAGTTTCATAGAGTTACATAGAGACTCATTGAGTTACATAGAGACCCATAGGGCACTGCAGGATTGCAATGTGCGGACTTAACACGGACAACAACAAAGACGACAACGACATCAACGACGACAATGACAACAACAACAACAAGAACTTCTAGATTTGAAGCTTTCGTGACTGCAAGGATTCATACTCCTTGTTTTTTTATTTTATTTATTTTTTACCTACGTGACTTGACCGAAAACAACAACTTATTGACACGTGAAGCCCAAGCCAGAAAGCTACTCAGCCCACCTCTATAGAGTCACGAAGCTCGCTGCCCCTTGCTTGCACGCAGTTAGCTAAGGCATATATACCGCGCACAACAACAACAACAACCGCCATTCGCCACTAAGTGGCGGTGACGTCACCACGACGCTTGTGCCAGGCCATGTGCACCTTGAGGCCACGTGAAGTGTCGAACGCCCGCTGGAAGGACGTTACAGAGCAGACCCAAGTGCCACGGGTCGACTGACTAAGATGACTGAGATGGCTGGCTGATACACCACCTGTGCCCCCTACTGTGCCAACCTGTTGTGCTTTAGTCACCCGGCGCTCTGCTCGTTGTTGTGAGCGTCGCTCCTCCGCCCTCCATTGTTCTTGAAGGGCGACTGCCTCCAACTGCCCAGTAGCGCCCTTCACGAGCCTCCTCCACAGAGGCCGATCTTGACACCGCTGGTACCAGTCATCGGCAAGTCCACTCAGCTCCACGCGCTCCTGTACCACATCACTCCATCTCTTCTCTAGCCCGTGCCGTGCCTGTTTAGCCCCCTCGATCCGACCGAACAAAAGCTGTTTCGGCATGCGGTGGCTGGGTATGCGGGCTACATGACCCAGCCAACGCAGCCTTGCCTGCCGGAGGAGCTCACCGATGGGACCTTGCCCAGATCTTTCAAGGATTTGTGAGCTCCTCACACAATCCAGCCTGGTTAAACCCAGGATGGATCGTAGGCAGGCCAGCCTAAATGTTTCTAACCAGCGAAGATGTTCCATTAGGGGGTCCATGTATCGCAAGCGTAGAGAAGGGAGGGAATGACCGTGGCCGAGAAGACCTGAAGCTTAGTGCAGAGCGACAGACCAGGTAGCTTCCACACAGCGTTACGCAACCGATGAAAAGATAATGCCGCTCTACTGATTCGGAGGGAGACCTCTGCTGTCAAATGGAGCCGGTCATAAGCACACTACCCAGGTGTGGGAAACTCTCTCCACAACTGCACTATCACCAATTGGGAGTTGTGGGGGTGGAATGTCCGATGGTACAAAATGCCCAGGCAGGTGCTTAGTTTTGGTGGGGCTGATGGTAAGTCCCCACCTCTTAGTGGTACGCTCCAGTCTCAGCAGCAGCATCTCCAACTCCTCCTCTGAAGGAGCAGCTATTACCAAATCATCGGCTTACATAACGTGGTTGAGCAATAGGGAGCCCTTGACCGCACCCGGGCATCGATCAGCCTCCTATTATATCTGTACCAGATGGAAATTCCTCCGGTACAGCTATTGAAGGCTTCATGAACTATGTGGTCGAATTTCGATTTAAAGCTTTCGTGACTGCAAGGATTCATCTTCTTGGTTCTTTCGGTAAAGTCACGTAGTATGAGAATAAAACAATAAAACAAAATAAGACAATAAAATTCTCACGACGTTTCGGCCACAACACAAGTAGCCTTCTTCAGGTGAAGGAACAGATCTGTCGGGACGACAGCGCTTCAATGAACGCTGCTAAGATTCGCAGCGTCTTTTAAGCTAGGTGGGAGAAATAAAGCGCCTTGACAAAAGAGTTTACATATCAAACAGGATAATTTAGCATTGAAATAGCTGTGTTAAAGTGTTGGATCAGCAGGGTGCTGAAGTCAGAAATTAGCATTGTAACTGGGAGATTAGCATGATGTTAATGTGAGGGATTAGCATGTGTCTGGTCACGGAAATAGCTATGTTAAAGTCAAAGTTTACATATCAATAGAGGCATTCAGTATGTGGACGCTAAAGGACTGCAACTACCCAACTATCATAGGATAAACCGATGTGAAAAAAAAACAAGTATGAACTACATCAATATAATAAATGTAAACAATAAATTCTTCAATAAGTTGAGTTATTAACATAAAGTAACTGAGTATACACTACACTATATATTGAATATCATATAGTAAACTAATAAAAAACTTAAATATAAACTACATCAATGTTATCAATAAACTCTATATACTCTCCACTCAGCTGAGCGCTTCAATGAACGCTGCTAAGATTCGTAGCGTCTTTTAGGCTAGGTGGGAGAGGTAAAGCGCCTTGACAAAGGAGTTTACATATCAAACAGGATAATTTAGCATTGAAATAGCTGTGTTAAAGTGTTGGATCAGCAGGGTGTTAAAGTCCGAAATTAGCATGTAACTGGGAGATTAGCATGATGTTAATGTGAGAGATTAGCATGTGACTGGTCACGGAAATAGCTATGTTAAAGTCAAAGTTTACATTTCAACGGAGGCATTTAGTATATGGACGCTAAAGGACTGCAACTACCCAACTATCATACAATAAACCGATGTGAAAAAAATAAGTATAAACTACATCAATATAATATATGTACTCAATATATTATTCAATAAGTTGAGCTATTAACATAAAGTAACTGGGTATACACTACACTATATATTGAATATCATATAGTAAACTAATAAAAAACTTAAATATAAACTACATCAATGTTATCAATAAACTCTATGTACTCTCTAATCAGCTGAGCTACTAACAATAAGTCGTTATACATTGCAATGCCATATGGCGAAAAAATGGGTGGTGTTTTTTTTTTCAACTTTAGCACCACGGACAGCGACGAGCTTTGTTCAGACGGACGAGTCGATCTATGCTTGGAACGGAGGAGGGGGGAGAAACAGCCACGATGCGCTGTTATACTCCATGTTATAAACCATACCATTAATCGTGGTGTGAGCGGTATTAAGAGGCAATGCCAGTGAAAGGGGCTGCGGTCTGAAGGTCCTCGTAAAATACAATTAATAAAGAACCGAAATGGTTTAAAACATCTTTCCAATGGTTACTAAGCCAGAATCCATCTTCTCGGTTGAAATTGTCTCTGTGCTTGTATATGTGGATGGCCTCATGAACGAATCTCTCATGGTAGGCGGTTGGCTTGCAAAGGACCTCCGTCTTAGAGAAGTCAATGTCATGTGAGCCCACTGAATTATAACAGTGATCTGCCACGGCAGAGGAGTTCGTCCTACCGTGTTTCAAGTCTGATTTATGTTCGCGGATGCGGTCCGAGATATGTCGTTCGGTTTCTCCAATGTAGCTGCTACCACATAGGCACTTTAGTTTGTAAACGCCCGGGTACTATATGTCTGGAACAGCATCTTTTACAGATGGAACCAGATCACGGATTTTATGTACTGTGTTCAATCGGACCTGTGATCTGGTTCCATCTGTAAAAGATGCTGTTCCAGACATACAGTACCCGGGCGTTTACAAACTAAAGTGCCTATGTGGTAGCAGCTACATTGGAGAAACCAAACGACATATCTCGGACCGCATCCGCGAACATAAATCAGACTTGAAACACGGTAGGACGAACTCCTCTGCCGTGGCAGATCACTGTTATAATTCAGTGGGCTCACATGACATTGACTTCTCCAAGACGGAGGTTCTTTGCAAGCCAACCGGCTACCATGAGAGATTCGTTCATGAGGCCATCCACATATACAAGTACACAGACAATTTCAACCGAGAAGATGGATTCTGGCTTAGTAACCATTGGAAAGATGTTTTAAACCATTTCGGTTCTTAATTAATTGTATTTTACGGTGACCTTCAAACCGCAGCTCTTTCGCTGGCATTGCCTCTTATTACCTCTCACACCATGGTTAATGGTATGGTTTACAACATGGAGTTTAACAGCGCATCGTGGCTGTTTCTCCCCCCTCCTCCGTTCCAAGCATAGATTGACTCGTCCGTCTGAACAAAGCTCGTCGCTGTCCGTGGTGGTAACATTGAAAAGAAAAAACCGCCACCCATTTTTTTGCCATATGGCATTGTAATGTATAACGACTTATTGTTAGTAGCTCAGCTGATTGGAGAGTATATAGAGTTTATTGATAACATTGATGTAGTTTATATTTTAGTTTTTTATTAGTTTACTATGTGATATTCAATATATAGTGTAGTGTATACCCAGTTACTTTATGTTAATAGCTCAACTTATTGAAGAATATATTGAGTACATTAATAT